CCAAAAATCTCTACCAGCCCTGCTTATAGAACCATCTACTGAAAACCAGGACAGAGAAGGGAGCTTTTGAATTTTGCCCTGAGTACCTCTAGGCTGCCTGAGGAATATGCCTGTCAAAGTTGGAAAGGGTTGTGCCTTTTGACACTGCTTGAGGCTAATAGCGATACCTGCTTTACGTTACCAGTGCATACTGCATGTTGCACAATATACGTGAGACCAAAGATGACCAACCATAGCTGCGAAAGTGCAGTCACGAAAGACTGGAAACAGCAACTTTGAAGAGCCTCAAGTCGGGCCTTTGGCGAATGTTTCCAATAACAGGAGTGCTAGTGTTGGGAAGGTCCTATATACATTTCAAGAGCAGAGCCAAAGGAGAATTGAAAGTCAGAGTGATAACTTTATTCCATATTTGGCCGCATGGACCGCCAAATTGTGACTGAACAAACTCATCTGAGAATAATACAGCCAGAGAGGATAAGAAACATGCGTGAAACAGACAAAGATACATCCAGGTGTGCTTTGTGTGTGTCAAGGTTCCTCCCCCACTCTGAACTCTAGGGTACAGATGTGGGGACCTGCATGAAAAACCTCCTAAGCTTATCTTTACCAGCTTAGGTCAAAACTTCCCCAAGGTACAAAATATTCCACCCGTTGTCCTTGGATTGGCCGCTACCACCACCAAACTAATACTGGTTACTGGGGAAGAGCTGTTTGGACGCGTCCTTCCCCCAAAATACTTCCCAAAACCTTGCACCCCACTTCCTGGACAATGTTTGGTAAAAAGCCTCACCAATTTGCCTAGGTGACTACAGACCCAGACCCTTGGATCTTAAGAACAATGAACAATCCTCCCAACACTTGCACCCCCCCCTTTCCTGGGAAATGTTGGATAAAAAGCCTCACCAATTTGCATAGGTGACCACAGACCCAAACCCTTGGATCTGAGAACAATGAAAAAGCATTCAGTTTTTTACAAGAAGACTTTTAATAAAAAATAGAAGTAAATAGAAATAAAGAAATCCCCCCTGTAAAATCAGGATGGTAGATATCTTACAGGGTAATTAGATTCAAAAACATAGAGAACCCCTCTAGGCAAAACCTTAAGTTACAAAAAAGATACACAGACAGAAATAGTTATTCTATTCAGCACAATTCTTTTCTCAGCCATTTAAAGAAATCATAATCTAACACATACCTAGCTAGATTACTTACTAAAAGTTCTAAGACTCCATTCCTGGTCTATCCCCGGCAAAGACCCAGCATACAGACAGACACAACCCTTTGTTTCTCTCCCTCCTCCCAGCTTTTGAAAGTATCTTGTCTCCTCATTGGTCATTTTGGTCAGGTGCCAGCGAGGTTACCTTTAGCTTCTTAACCCTTTACAGGTGAGAGGAGCTTTCCCCTGGCCAGGAGGGATTTCAAAGGGGTTTACCCTTCCCTTTATATTTATGACAGTGTGTGACACATAGAAGTGCACAGGTCTCAGTGATCTCAATCCCCGTGCATGGATTTAACATGTAACAGCAATTTGTGTATTTAATTTCTTCCCACTGTCATTTAATTAAATAAAAGGATTTCTACAGAGAAGGCTGGAAACAGCCATCCCCATGCATACAAGCAAATTTCACAGCTACTCTTCCTTTTATTAAAAGGATAATAACAAATCTTGTTATCACCGACTGATCCTTTCCCTTTTGGATTTTCTCCAGCTCACAAGATTCTTCCCAGCACAAGAGAAAAGCATTTTAGGCTTCCATTGAAGCAGGAGCCAATGGCTTTAGAAGTTAAGGGACATCTCCCAGAGATGCAGTGTGGACAGGAAGCATTGCCCTCAGGCAGGTGGTCTCTTGCAGAGACAAAAGAAACTCTGATTTTTTGCTTATATCCATAAAGCCAGGTAAATTATGACGTTCAGTTTCAGAGCTACAGGTGCAATAAGTACCCAGCAACTGAATGATGGATGCAGATATTCCTGGTCAAATTCAGCACAGTTATCCAACTGCAACATTTGAGGACAGAGAATTCCCACCTGAATTTAAACAGGTGACCCAGCTACCTGGCAAAAAGTACCACCCTTCTGAAAGTGGCTGCTCTCCTTACCCTAACCCTCAGATAAGGAAGGCAAGCGCTCTTGCTCGCTCTCTCTCTCTTTCTCTCAGTCTTTCAGGCTCAAGTTTTGCAAGAACCACAATAAATTAAACATAAAATAGCAAGTGAAGAAGAAATCTGGGGGCCAGAACGTCTCATGATGGAACCTGGTACAGTTCGTTTGGTGTCAGTTTACACATGGCCCACTCTGTAAAGTAATGCTGCCCCCTGGCCCCATGCAGTAATTCCGTCTAATGCACCTTTGTCAATGTCTAACACCTGACTGACAAGTCTTATGTAACCCACTGGTGAGTGGAAGTCCCCTTGGTGCCATTCCGCAGAGGCTATGAGCTGTTACAGGCCCACGCTACAGAGGTGGTTATTCATGCTTTTAGCTCAGGAGGTCCTCAGTTCACTCCTCGGTGCATTAGCCAAATGAGAGGCTGTTGTTCTTACTCACATCATAACTTGTTCTTCAAGGGTGATTTTCAACCCTGTGCAGGGTCGCATGAGGCCTATGGACCACTAATGCCCTATTTTGAGGACTTACAGAATTAAGTGGGAATTAAATGGTGTGCAGGTCTTATAGTGGACTCTACATAAACTCAGTATCTCTTTGTGCCAAGAAGTTTCTCCTTATCAGAACTTTCCGACTGAAGGTGTCCTAGTTTTCTTTTAATGCAGTACAAATCTCTTGCCTATATTGCCCACAGTACTATATATTCATAGATTTTAAACCCCGAAGGGGTCACTGTGATCAAGTAGTCTGACCTTTTGCTTAACCCAAACAATTAAATTTTACCCACTGGTTCTTCCATCCAGCCCAATAGCTTATGGTTGAACTAGACCATATACTTTAGTGAGACATCTAGACTTGATTTAAAGACTTCAATGGCCGGAGAATTTACCACCTCCCTTGGCAATCAGTTCTAGGGGTTAACGACCTTCACTGTTAAAAAAAAATCTTATTTCTAGTTTGATTTGTGTTGACTTCAGCTTCCAGACATTGGATCTTACTATTCCTTTGTCTGCTAGATTAAAAAGCCATGTAGTATTAGGTGTCTTTTCCCTGTGAAAGTACTTACAGATTGTGACAAAGCCTTGTCTTTGGTAAACTACTCTGATTACCGCAGTCCTGAACAAAGCTTGAGGATCAGGATTTGGTCCCTCAATACATAATTATTTTATCTTCCTCATTGACATACACAAGATGCCTTTTTAATCTCCTGATCCTTTGTTTTACACCTTACCTGGATCAGCCTGGAAGAGAACAGCAAAGAACTGGAAAAGGAGCCTCATGGCTGATAGCTGGTTGAGTTCTAGCTTTGCTGGAGAAGGGATCCAACAACGGATGCAGGCTGAGGTGTTTGAACTGATGAAGACGGAGAGTCAATGTCTTTATGATGCTCTGGGATCGTGAAATGTTGAGGTTTGAGGGCCTTGTCTTTAAAAAAAAAACGTGTCTTTGGATAATGATTTCATTCCCCGTTATTGCAGCTGTCAGCGACGTACGAATGTGTTGTGATCACTTTCATTCAGCCATGACTGTGTATATGATGGGGATATGATAGAGGTCTATAAAATCATGATGGGTGTGGAGAAAGTAAATAAGGAAGTGTTATTTACTCCTTCTCGTAACACAAGAACTAGGGGTCACCAAATGAAATGAATAGGCAGCAGGTTTAAAATAAACAAAAGGCAGTATTTCTTCATACAATGCACAGTCAACCCGTGGCACTCTTTGTCAGAGAATATTGTGAATGCCAGGACTATAACATGGTTTTTAAAAGAACTAGATAAGTTAATGGAGGATAGGTCCATCAATGGCTATTAGCCAGTATGGGCAGGGATTGTGTCCCGAGCCTCTGTTTGCCAGAAGCTGGGAATGGACAACGGGGGATTTATCACCTGATGATTGCCAGTTCTGTTCATTCCCTGTGAAGCACCTGGCATTGACCACTGCTGGAAGACAGGGTACTGGGCTAGATGGACCATTGGTCTGACCCAGTGTGGCCATTCTTGTGTTCATATGTTCTATGTTCTTATGTATTCTAAAGCCAGCAAGAGGCTCAACTGGGGGAAAGGGCTGCAAGAAGGAGCTTGGCTCTTGTAGCAGGCCTCAGTGTGGGGAAAGGCCTGCTTTGGTTAAGGGAAATGCTTTGTTTTGTGTTTGAATAATAAAGGAAGCCCTGGTCCAGACTTTGATCATGCCATCTGTGCTTCCTGGGCTGGAGAGACAGACCAGTAGGCTGCACGCACCATGTTCTTTTGATGTTAACTTTATTTGTTTTAAAAAGACTTGGGTCTGGGTCTTACCATTTGTTAAGGTTTCCATGCTGCTGTACCAATCCCCGCCCATTGCTTGAATCTAGGGTCTTTAGCTCCAAAGCACAGATTCCTATTGCTTGTGATAAAGGTAAACCTGTTAGCTGAAAGCACAAGTAAGCTGGATCAATCACTAGCAAGGGATGGAGCACACATTTTGGACACTACAGCACCATGACCTCACTTGGGCCCAAGCTTGCAGTCTTATTTAGGCAAAAGTCCCCAAGAATTTGCTCTCTGGGGTTGCCACATGTCTAGGTTTGCCCAGGATCACCCCTTTTCTGAGGTAGCTGTCACACCAACAGCTGGCCAGTGTTATGGGCTCAGGATCATCCCAGTTGTCCTGGGTTTTTTGGACCTCAGAGGTGGCAACAGTATTGCTCTCATCAATATCAATGGGAGTTTTGGTGGAATAAGAACATCAGGATGGACTGTCACTTAGGTTCTTCTCTGGGGAAATCCTAAACTCTTTCATCTTGGATTTAGAGTCAATTGTCTATGAGGCATGCTTGAGTCAGTGAACTTTTGCATCCATATTATAAAACAACCTCATCACTGGTATAAATAAAAAAGAGAGATCACTGATAGTGGGTTAATAAATCCTTTATTTTTTGCAAATAAAATAATAGTGAGTGTGTATGTTATACTGCACATCTCCAAAGTGCTACACAAGCTGATTAATATTCAAAACCTCCCTGTGAGGTAGGTTGGACGATGCATGCAAGCAGGAGTAGCCCCAAGGCTTTGATTGATGTCTAGACAGTGGGTATAAACAGGATATTTTTTAGGCAACATTTTAATGATCATTTGCAGGAGAGCTTAGAACAAGGATGAGTTGATCAAAAACATTTCCTCCTGGCAGTAAGACTGTTACTGCTTTTATTGGCCCCCAAAATGATCTTCTTTTGCTCTTGGAATCCTATGAGGATAAAAAGCGATGTGTTATTTCATGGAAGTGTAATCTCGAAGGTTCGGATCCACCCTTCTTCTTAACACCCATCTGTCACCTTTTTTTTTTTAATACTTTGGTCAGATTTCTGCATTTCACCCTGCCACCATTATGGGCCAGATCCTGAGCTGGAATAAATCATAATAGCACCATAGCTGCCATCTTGGTCTTTGATATGTTGTGCTATCACCATTCTATTAATGGAATTATGCTGATTTATCCCTGTTTATTCATATGAGAGGATGAGGGTTATGGACTATGTCAAGGACCAAGGTAGTGCCTTGTCTTAAATGGTGTCGCTGTAGTTTCCCACAGCACTACATGGGATGCCTTTAATCCCGTTCTCGGGGACGATCTGACCATATTTTTTTTGCCTGCCAGATGCCTTACAGTAAATTAACATCATGATATATGGTTGCTGGAAAAACCCATAAAGCACCAGCTGCTCAGCTGATATAAATCAGTCACTCCATTGACTGGAAAGGAGCTACACCTTTTACTCCTGAGGATCTGCCTCAGTATCTCTTGCTCTGATGAAACATGTAAATATATGTCTGCTACAGTGGGAAGATGTAGGGCCCTATCCTGCTTCCACTGAAGCCAGTGGGAGTTTTGCCATTGAATTCAGCAGGCCCTATCTGAACTTCTAATGGACAATCATGGCCCTGAGTGTCAAATAATTAAACAAAACTACTAGGAAGCAAACTGCAAGGTGGATAAACTTTTATCTTATCAAATTAAAGCTGATCCCTAAAGGTGTACAGGAAACAACTTAAAACCACAGGGGAAAGGAATGTTTTGCTCACCAGGGAAATTCCCAGTACTGTAAGAAATTCATCTTCAAAGAGAAGCGTGAAATAAATATCCTGCTGCCTCCACCCATTTCCAAATTCACTCAGACATTCATTCAGCCACCATGTTCACACACACACACACTTCCCTAGCCACACAAATACACACATCTCCAGACTCCCACCTGCCAAAAAACCCAAACACATATTCCTTAATAGACCAGGTCAAAGCAAACAAACAAAAAACAGGGGGTGGGGTGGGGAGGAATGCAAATGTTTTGTGGACATTGTTCCCTTTTTTCTTTTTCTTTTTTTTTTGGAAAACGTTTTGAACGGCATGTGAAAAAAAAACAGAGAAATGTACACAACCATTGTCGAACATGTCAACCTCTTTTCTTACCAGAATTCAAATTATGAATGAAAAATTTCATCCAGTGATCAAACCCAATTACACACTCACTCCTTAAATACAAACCCACCCTACACACACAGTCATCCTCCCTCTACGCACAGCCTCCCTGCACACCAGATTCACCTCCTAATTATGGAAATAGGAGCCTGTGTTATTATGATGGCAGAGTGACAACTATTTTTATGACAGGTTTCAGAGTAACAGCCATGTTAGTCTGTATTCGCAAAAAGAAAAGGAGGACTTGTGGCACCTTAGAGACTAACCAATTTATTTGAGCATAAGCTTTCGTGAGCTACAGCTCACTTCATCTGATGCATACTGTGGAAAGTGTAGAAGATCTTTTATACACACAAAGCATGAAAAAATACATCCCCCCACCCCACTCTCCTGCTGGCAATAGCTTATCTAAAGTGATCACTCTCCTTACAATGTGTATGATAATCAAGTTGGGCCATTTCCAGCCCAAATCCAGGTTTTCTCCCCCCCCCCCCCCCCACACACACAAACCCACTCTCCTGCTGGAAATAGCTTATCTAAAGTGACCACTCAATGTATACCTTCAGATCAGCGGCACTGCTATGGGTACCCGCATGGCCCCACAGTATGCCAACATTTTTATGGCTGACTTAGAACAACCTTCCTCAGCTCTTCCCCTATGCCCCTACTCTACTTGCACTATATTGAGACATCTTCATCATCTGGACCCATGGAAAAGAAGCCCTTGAGGAATTCCACCATGATTTCAACAATTTCCATCCCATCATCAACCTCAGCCTGTCCAGTCCACACAAGAGACCACTTCCTGGACACTACAGTGCTAAAAACGATGGTCCATAAACACCACCCTATACCGGAAACCTACTGACCACTATTCCTACCTACATCCTCCGCTTTCACCCTGACCACACCACATACCATCGTCTACACCAACTCGCGAACAACCCTTGCTCCAACCCCTCAGACAGAGACAAACACCTACAAGACCTACAAGCTCTTACAACTACAAACCCACCGCGGAAGGAAGAAACGATTGATGCCAGAGAGTTCCCAGAGCACCACACAGGACGGCCAACAAAGAAAAAACGAAGCCACTGCCGCACCTTCAGCCCCCACAACCCCTCCAAGCATATTAAGGACACAACCACCTGAAGGAGACCCAACCCCACAAACCTGGGAGACGCCGCCTGCCACAGACCCCCCAACCTGAACAAACCACCGCAACCACAACCACACAACGAACCCAACCCGAACCCCGCAACAAAGCCCGGCCACGGCCCACACTATCAGGGAACACCCACGGCCAAAACCCCACCACAGGCCGCACCACCACCAGGAAGCCCGCCCGCCCCCGCCGACTGGCAAACGACGCCGAAAAGAAAGGACACAAACGGCCAGAAAAACACAAAACCGCGGAGACCCAACCCGGCACGCGATTACAGACATGAAAGTTGCTATATTACAACAAAAAAACTTCAAATCCAGACTCCAGCGAGAAACTGTTGAATTGGAATTCATTTGCAAATTGGATACAATTAACTTAGTCTTGAATAGAGACTGGGAGTGGCTAAGTTATTATGCAAGGTAACCTATTTCCCCTTGTTTTTTTCTACCCCCCCCCCCAGACGTTCTTGTTAAACCCTGGATTTGTGCTGGAAATGGCCCATCTTGATTATCATACACATTGTAAGGAGAGTGGTCACTTTAGATAACCTATTACCAGCAGGAGAGTGGGTTTGTGTGGGGGGGGAGGGGGGGGAGGTGGTGAGAAAACCTGGATTTGGGCTGGAAATGGCCCAACTTGATTATCATTCACATTGTAAGGAGAGTGATCACTTTAGATAAGCTATTGCCAGCAGGAGAGTGGGGTGGAGGGAGGTATTTTTTCATGCTTTGTGTGTATAAAGATCTTCTACACTTTCCACAGTATGCATCAGATGAAGTGAGCTGTAGCTCACGAAAGCTTATGCTCAAATAAATTGGTTAGTCTCTAAGGTGCCACAAGTACTCCTTTTCTTTTAACTATTTCTATATGGCTGCTTTGCCCTCTAGTGGCTTTCCACAGCTCATTCAGCCTTTTACCTTGTACAGCATTTCAGTTGTCCACCGTGGCAAGTTCCTGAGATAGAAAAGACTGGGGGACAGTTTATTAAATGGCAGAAACCTCCTTGGGCTCTACAGGCCAGAGTGTCAGCAGGAGGAGGACCCATATCAGCAACACCTGAGTGAAGAAGAGTCTGTTAGCTTCTCAGTTTTCAGTCATAAACATAGGGAAAATATAGGGAGCTATTTCAGCAGTAGAGCCCATTCACGGAGGGATTAGCACAGGTACTCCTGGACAAATCCAGTGTTTCCACTGAATTTATTTTGTCCACTACAAAACTGCCCTGCGGCGTTCTGTTTTTTAAGGAACCATGGGAGTGGTGTGCATAGTCTGCCTGATGCCCCAGGATTGGACCAGACAAAAACCTGCAGGCTAATGAGCTGTTGACTGTAGTTGCAAATATGGACGGGTCCTTTGTTCCAGCGTGACCCACTCAGTGTAGTGTTCTGTCCACCTTTTGTGGTGGCCGAGTCTTAGATAGAGGTTGCTACACCCTTGGCTAACAAATGATGCTCTTTTTGCTCTGGCAGCAGAATCTCAGCTGTTAAAATCCAGAGACACCACGTTCAGTCCATACTGCCAACATTACCTATGCACAAGGAAAGGGGATCGGGGGAAACTGACTTGCTGCCATGAAGGCTGCTGTGATTTCATATTCTCTCCCCCAAGTACCAGCTTCCAAACATGGCATTACTGGCATCAGCCTGAATACTGATTGTCCCGTACTATAACAATTGCTGTACAGTATATCCTGAATGGCAAGTCAATAGAGTGAGTCAGGAGTTCTACCCATGGGTACCAGGTTAGTTTTGGCTGCAAATATACCACTAGCTATAAATACTACAGAATAAGAAGTTTAAGGATGGTGCTCATGCCCTTTCACGGATTTCCTTTGCTATATACCATGAAAGCCTTGTGTAGACTAAGATTTAAAGATGTGATATTAGATCAAGTTACCTCAATCTAATTAATGTTACAGCTGGTCAGGGAACAGTTTTCCCATCCTGTGAGAATTTTCAAGATTTTGAAATAAACTTCCTGTTCCAAATCAGGATGAAAAGTCAAAATCTTAAAACTTTCCCTGAATTGAAAAGCTAAAACAAAAAGTCAGATCAGGTCAATTGAAACATCTTATTTTGATCATTTTGGAACATTTTATTGCAATTTTGACCTTTTCCTATTTTTTTAAACTATAAATTAGCATAAATTTTGAAACCAAAATTCATTTAGACCGCCAAAATGAACTTTTTGCGTTATAAACTGTCAAAATTCCCATTTTGACCATTTCAAACCGCTTCCCGCCCCGCCCCCCGTTTTTTGTCTAAGTGGGAAATTTGTCAAATGTTGTTCAAAATGTTTCCCTGCAAATAGATTTGATTTTGATGAATTAGCATTTTCTAAAAGAAAAAAGTTATGTTGAAAATTTCTTGACTGACTTTAACTGATACCTTCTTTAAAAATTACAAGTGATGGAAAATCCACCACATCCACTGGCAATCTGTCCCAGTAGTTAGTTACCCTCATATTAAAATGTGTGCCTTATTTCCAGTCTGAAATGGTCAAGATTCAACTTCCGGCCTTTGGATCTTGTGTTTGTCTTTGCTTGCTAGACTACAGGGTATATCTGCTCCTCATGTAGTTACTCTAGGGATTCATGGAGTACCTCAAAAAAGACAATCACTGTCTGTTTTAGGCTGACAAATGTAATTAAAATATCTATTGTAAATTATAGTCTGAGTTTATCTCTGCTGAGTTGGGCTTCTTTCCAAAGAACCTTTCAGTAAACTGGGTGCAGATGTCTTTTAATGAAATCAAAAGCTATTAAATAAATCTGTCCTCAATATTGCACTAACCCTGAACTCGATGTGAGGATCAGGATTTAGTCTATCATTAGCTCCTTACTTTATCTTTCCCATTCACATTGACATCCCTTTTCATCCTCCTTATCATGTATTGTACATCTCACCTGGAGTAGCCTGGAAAAGGAAGACCAGAACAGCAAAGAGCAGGTAAAGGATCTTCATGTCTGAAGATTGGCTGGGATCTTAGTTTCACTGGAGAGAAGAGACTCAAAGACCAATTGAGACTAAATTTCATTAGAAGAAGATAATGGAGTCCCCGTCTTTATAAGGCTCTGGGGATTAGGAAATGTTGATGCATGGGTGCTTTGTCAATAAATAACCATGCCTAACCTTTTGCAGAGCAGGTTGATTACCTCTGTTATTGCAGATTTCACTGAAGTATGTGACCAAAATGTTGCAATCTGCAGTGTGAATTTCCATTAGCAGTGTCTATATGTTATATAACTTGAACAATGTCCAAGTCACACTGAGTTCTTTGTGTTCTCATGGCTTCTGTGGGTCTAATCCCATTAAACACGCAAGCTGGGCAAAATTTTTGTGCAAAATCATTTTTCCTCAAAAAATGCAGATACAGGTCAATTGATCAATTTGAAACAATTTCAGCAATTTTTTTTTTATCAGAAATAGAAAAAAAAAGTTGGAAATGTTAAGATGGTCATTTCAGCATCTCCAAAATTAAACCTTTTAACTTTTCATTTTGGAAAGACATTTCTGTTTTGGAATTTCCTTCCATTTTATTTAAAAACATTTAAAAACCTCAACATTGAAACAAGTCTTTTTTTTTAATTTCAGTTCACTGAAAATTTGTAAACATTTTTGGGGGGGCTACTCAAAACTGTTTTTTTCTTTATTTTTTTGACCTGCATCTCCAGATGGTCAGTTATTCAGACAACACTACTGATGCCATGGGATCAGTTAAATACTGAGGGCAGGTCTACACCACAGCCTAAATTAATTTAAGTTATGTCACTCAGGGGTGTGAAAAAGTCCCTCCTCCACCCTGAGTGATGCAAGTTTCATGCTGTCTACACAGCCACAATGTCAGTGGAAGAGCATCTCCCGTCAGCACAGAGCATCTTCACCAGATGGAGCTGCACCCATGTAGCCTCAGTAACGTAGATTTGCCCTGAGTCATGGTCAGAGCAGGGGGTTTTAGGACTCAGGAACAAATGGATTCTTATCCCAGCTCTGACACTGATTCTCTGTGTAGCATTAGCGAGTCATTTAACCTTTGCCTCATTCTCACCATCTCTGTAGCTGGGGATAGTACTTTCCAAAAGAGCTTGGTGGATTCTGCAGAAAAAATATTTATTTGAATTAAAGCTGCAAATTCACGTCATTTGCAACTCTTTTGATCATGCTTTGGGAGAAATTCACTCCTGTGCAGAGGGTCAGCACAAAGGAATGTGCCCCATTTAATTCCCTCTCTAGTCCTATTTTGAAGGCTTTACATGGACTTAAGTGGTGCCTAGGCCTTGAACTAGCTCTGTGCCTTGGGGTAAATGTCACCCTTTTTGAAAACTCATTAATAGTGATCTTGGGTGAGATCTAAAGCTCCCATTCACTTCCATGGGACCAGGATTTCAACACCTATATCAAGAGGATGAATACGGGTGGAAGCATAAGAATGGCCATACTGGGTCAGACCAATAGTCCATCTAGCCCAGTATCCTGTCTCCTAATAGTGGGCAATGCTAGAAGCTTCAGAGGGAAGGAACAGAATGGGGTAATTATCGAGTGGCCCATTCCCTGTTGTCCAGTTCCAGATTCTGGCAGTCAGAGTTTTAGGAACACCCAGAGCATGGGGTTGCTTCCCTGACCATCTTGGCTAATGGCCATTGATAGACCCATCCTCAATGAAATTACCTAATTCCATTTTGAACCCAGTTATACTTTTGGCCTTCACAGCATCCTCTGGCAACAAGTTCCACAGGTTGACTGTGCATTATGTGAAGAAGTACTTTCTGTGTTTGTTTTAAACCTGCTGCCTATTAATTTCATTGGGTGATGTCTGGTTCTTGTGCTACATGAAGGGGTAAATGACACTACTTAATTCACTTTCTCCACACCATTCTTGATTTTAGTCTATCACGTCTCCCTTTAGTGATCTCTTTTCTAAAATGAGCAGTCCCAATCTGTTTAATTTCTCTTGGTATGGAATCTGTTCCATAGCCCTAATAATTTTTGTTGTCCTTTTCTGTACCTTTTCCGGTTCTAATATATCTTTTTTGAGATGTGATGACCAGAACAGCACACAGTATTCAAGGTATGGGTGTACCATCGATTTATTTAGTGGCACTATGATATCTTCTGTCTTATTACCTATCCTTTTCCTAATAGTTTCTAACATTCTGTTAGTTTTTTTTAACTGATGCTGCATGTTGAGTGGATGTTTTCAGAGAACTATCCACAATGACTCCTAGGTCTCTTTCTTGAGTGGGAACAGCTAATTTGAACCCCATCATTATATTTTCCAGTATGCATTATTTTTTCTTATCAACATTGAATTTCATCTGCCGTTATCTTGCCCAGTCACCCATTTTTGTAAGATCCCTTTGTAACTCTTTGCAGTCAGCTTTGGCTCTAACTATTTTGAGTAATTTAGTATCTTCTACAAACTTCACCACCTCACTGTTTACCCCCATTTTCAGATTGTTTTGGGGTAAACAAACCACACACTGAGCCCAAAGGAGTTAGAAGGCAATACTGGAGCCAGGCAGCCCTACTCCCCTGGGCCTGCTGAGCATGTTTCAACTGAAGGAGCAGGATAAATAGAGATCAGTAGCCCAGGCAAAGAGGGGTAGTCAGACTCCAGGAGAGCAGAATCCTTCTCCGGGAAGGTAGGCAGAAGGTTGAGCCTAAGAGGTGACCACAGAATGGGTAAGACCCACAGGTAGTGCCTTCACTTGCCACCACCCTCTCTGAAACCCAGCAATTCCTGCATGGTCCTGCTCCTTTGGACTCTTTATTCAGTTGAGCCACAGACTTTTTGGACTATAGGGGCCATGCCCCAAATTGTAGGAACCTATTGGTAGGGGGTAGCCCAGGGAAGTGAATTTAGACTAGTTGCAGTGACAATCTTGGCCGTGTTGCTTCCCACAGCATTCTGGGAAAGACCCAATGTAGAGGGAGGGCCTAGGTCCCACTACCACATCCACTTAAGGGCCGAGGCCCAGATGCAGGTGGAAAGCTGAAGACTCCAAGCTTAAGGTCAGGAACAGGCACCTCTACCATCCTGACAGAAAGGCAAGCGGCCAGAAGTGAGGTGCTCTAACCACTAGGCTGCCCAGCCCTTTGAGCCCCCTATCACACAGATCATTTATGAATATGTCAAACAACAAAGGTTCCAGTACCAATCTTTGGGGGACCCGGCTATTTACCTCTCTCCACTGAGAAAACTGCCCATTTATTCCTACTCTTTGTTTCCTGTCTTTTAACCAATTACTGATCCATGAGAGAACCTTCCCTCCTATCCCATGACCACTTATTTTGCTTAAGAGCCTCTGGTGTGGGACCTTGTCAAAGGCGTTCTGGAAGTCCAAGTACATTATAGTCACTGGGTCACTTTTGTCCACATGATTATTGACACCCTCAAAGAAGTCTAATAGATTGGTGAGGCATGAAATCCCTTTATAAAAGTTGTGTAAACTCTTCCTCAGTATAGTATGTTTATTTATGTGTCTGATAATTCTGTTTTTCACTATAGGTTCAACCAATTTGCCTGGTACTGAAGTTAGGTTTACCAACCTGTAATTGTCAGGATCGCCTCTGGAGCCCTCTTTAAAAATTGGCATTACATTAGCTATCCTCCAATCATCAAGTAAAGAGTCTGATTTAAGCAATATGTTACATACCACAATTAGTAGTTCTGCAATTTCATATCTGAGTCCCTTCAGAACTCTTGGGTGAATACCATCTGGACCTGGTGATTAATTACTGTTTAATTTATCAATTTGTTCAAAACCTCCTCTATTGGGGAGTTCCTCAGATCTGACATCTAAAAAGAGTGCCTCGGGTGTGGAAATCTCTCTCACATCCTCTGCAGTGAGGACTGATACAAACAATTCATTTAGGTTCTCTGCAATGACCTTGTATTACTTGAGTGAAGTTTTAGGACTGTGATTGACTAGTGGCCCCACTAACTGGCAGGTTTCCTGCTTCTGGTGCACTTAAAAAAAATACTATTTGTTTTTATGTCTTTTTTTAGTTGCTCTCCAAATTCTTTTTTGGCCTGTGTGACGTTACACCCCATATTCTTCATAGAAATATTGTTATGATATGAATATGGTACGACTAAGATATGTTTTATGCAAGAGGGGTCATATGAGGTATCATTGAAAAGGTTATGATCTGTGGAATGTGTTTATCCAATTTGTATGCATGTATCATTTTTGTATCTCAAGCTAGGAATATTGACCATGTGTCTGAATTTCAAATGTGCTGCTTTGGGTGACACCCACAACTAGCTCTTCAGGTACAACAATGAAAAAGCCAGACAGGGCTGATGGCCCATCAGCAAAGACAATAGACTGTGAAAGAGCTTAGTCTTCCTGTGGATGCTCCAAACAGCCTGAGAGTAATATCTAGTACAACCCTGCAGAGACATGTGACTGAGTCACCTGGTACTGGACCCCACCTTGGAATGCCAGTGTTTTTCTGCTGGAAGACAAAGGATTCCCACCATACACAAATGCAAAAAAAAAGGCAGGGAAGTGACATCATTGTGGTTCTCCTCTGCCTCCCCACCCAAAGAGACACTGGGAAAGACCTGTAAACAAGAACTGAACTGGAGGGAGAAGATCTGAGCCCAGGCTGGAGAAGGGTGTCCAGCCTGTGAGCAAAAATGCCTGAAGTTTCAAGCTGCAGGCCAGTGCAGCTGGCTTTCACGAATCTCTGTAATCTGCCTGAGACAACATTTAGGGTGAGAAATTACTATTTGTAGCCAATTTCTTTAATGTATTAAGTTTATTCTGCATGTTTTATTTTGTTTTGTTTCCTTGGTAATATGCTTTGTTCTGTTTGCTATCTCTTATAATCACTTAAAATCTACTCGTTCTAGTTGTTTAGAATAAACTTGTTTTTGTTTATTCTAAAACCCAGTTTGTGCCATTCATGGGGGGTTGGGGGTTAGAGGCTCCACACTGAGGGAGGGGGCGGATTTCACAATATACTTTTGGGTCTGCTCTTCAAGGGAGGTGGGCACCTGAGTACTGGGGCAAGTCCCTTAAGATGACTCTTC